ACGACAAATCGGGCACGTTTTTCGTTTGTGAACATGAATACCGTTCGCAGGTGCACGACCTCGGTTGGCATTTTGGTTATCAGCCTCGTTTTCTCCTGGACCGGGGGCAGTAAACCAGCGAACGAGGCAGTCATAGCAGGCGACGTGACCGCATGGTGCCAGCGCAAACGGTTTGTAGAGTAGGTCCAAGCATATTTGGCAAGTCAGAGATTGCTGTACGCTAGTAAGATGCGTCTGATGTCTCTTAAGAAGCTGCAAAGCATTTGGATAAGATTAGAAACTTGGATAACGACATGATCTGCTTACCTGTGACTGGGTTTCTAATTGCTGTTTTAAATCGTCTATAAGCTGCTGTGCAGCCATATCTACTGGTTGGAGTTGTTCGTGAGCTATCGAGGAGTTCGGCGCGTGAGTTGACGGGGCTGATGAACGTGCCCTTTCTTGTGCCTTTTCTTTACCCTTGCCTTTGTCAGGGTTCTGATGGGCCAATAATAATATTTTAACGCCACAATTATGCCTCAGAGGCTAGACACATACGTTAACTTCTGCCACCACTTCTGCCACCACTTCCGCGCTCCTTTTGTTTGACTCCACGCGCCCGGAAGATCCAACAGTGACGGAACTAGCGGGAGTCACTTCAACGAGGGAATTTTCACGTTTACGCTTGGCTCGATCATCTTCTATTTCGGAAGTCACGACGGACATTTTTTTCTTCTTCCTCTTCCTTTTCTTGTCCTTTTCTTTACGAGGTGAACCCGCAGCTATGGGTTCAACAGAGGCTGCTGTCGAACTAGGAGGTGCGAGAGACTGAGATACGCCAATAACCGACGAGCTTGGCTCTAGATTGGTCTCCCGTTTGCGTTTCTTGTGCTTTCTATCAGTGCTGTGCTCGCTTTCAAGCGCATGAGGACGCTTCTGGCCAGCAGAATTGAGCGTATGGATCTGCAAAACGCTCGCGTTGCTCGGCTCGGGTGCAGGACTTGACATCCAGTCAAAAAGGCTCAAGACCAAGATAGAAATTGCAGTGATCAAGTCTGGTCAATTGTTCACACGGGTATAAATATACACAAACACCCGCATCTACTCGGCATCACTCCAACCCGTTTCCCGCGGAGTCCCCATTTGCTCATGCTCTTTAATCTCCCAAAGCAAACTTTTGGGAGCGGAATATCCAATTTCTCCCATCTCCTCGAAAGCCATTTTGTATCTTGAATCATTCGCTCTAATGCACCTTCTAATAATCTTAGCGTATATCCTGAGTGGGGGAACATGTCCAGCGGCTTTCATTTCTTCCAAGTAGAAGAAGGCATCTTCATACTTCTCCTGGGTTAAACATAGGTAGACCATCCTCTCGAACGTATCGTCGTTTGGCGTCAGGTTCGCTGCTTTCATCTGATCAAGGAGAACGTCACCCAGTTGTCGGTGTTTTGCAATGATGCATCCGTCTAGAAGGATATTGAACGTCTCTATATCTGGATACGCACAGAGTTCTTCGAAGCTCTTGTATGAGCCCATGGCGCGTTGGAGGTCGCCAAGCTGCACCGACGCCTGAATAAGCACGTTGAGTGCAGTCGTATCAACCTGGCCGCGCTCCTTTTCTATTTCCTCGACTATTTTCCACGTGTTGTCTAGTGTCTCAACGGAATTGCCGATGGCATCAAGGATGGGTCGAGTGGTCTTTGAAGTTGGGGATATGTCGCGATTACGCATAATGCTAAGAGTTATCAGGGCCTCTTTGAGTTGAGAGTTGCGACAAAGTGCTGCTATGATTGATGCGAAATGGTGTTCCTGCCACTCCACGCCAGCCGACTGGAGTACACGAAGCACGTCCGTAGCAAGGTCAGTTAGACCATGCCTCGCTGCGGTATTTAGGACAGCTAGGCAAACACCCTCATCTGGCGTAACGTCGAATTTGTCAACCATAATACTCCAGCAATGCGTCACTCCATCTCCCTGAACAGCGCAGGATAATGAGAATAAGGGAAAAGGGAGGGAAAAGGGACTCACATATAATTCTTGTGCCGAACCAGCTAGACACTTCAACCATACGCTTTTGTCAAGCAGTGTGTTGGATTTTGACTCGAACCAAGTTGCCATGTCAATTGCGAGTCGCGGGTAGCCTAACTCCGCGGCTAGCATAACGACACTTTTTATAGCCTTCATCCCTGGCGTCAATTCACGAGACTTCAACTCGTGGAAGTAGCGAAGGGCGAGCTCAAGATTTCCGTCTTCTGCGTACATGACAATCAGGAATGAATAGGTCTTGCTATCGGGTTGCAAGCCCAACCCATTCATCTTATCAAAAATCTTCCATAAAATGGGAGAGCATAGTTGACGGTGCGCCTGTCATTTTCATTGTCATTGACCATTTTGGAAATATTCTGTGACGTACATGAATGAGAAAATTGAATATCTCTGTATCTGGCTTAATCCCAACCAACAGCATGTCATCAAGGATAGCCTGTGCAAGCCTCCATACACCGGCATTTGTGGCTGATTCCATCAACACCCGGTAGGTTTGAAGGTCAGGACGAGTGCCTTCTAGCTTCAGCTTCGCAGCGGCTTCGAGGCAGAGTGGTAATAATATTTTCCGTCGATGTGAAGCAGCATCGAAAAAAGCTTTGCCTGGGTTTTTCAATGCAACCGAGTTCTTTTGTTCGATTCTTGGGTCGGACCTGAATTTCCAGACCTGGTTTGAAGGGTGATGTATTCTTGGAGTGTGCAGGTTGTCAAGAGTCGAGGTTGTCGCATGCCTGACAAGCTGTGTATGTCTGGAGGAGTCGAAGCATGCACGACGCAAGGATGAACTAGACACGGAGGAGAGCATCTGGGCCGGAACGGACCAAAATTCCACCGGGAACGGAGCAGATGCCAAATAGAAGCAAATAAGTAAGATCGAGAATTCTCACAACGAGCTACTAAAATAGGTTGGTTAACAACGGATTCGGACGCCGCACAGCATGAAGCCGGGTCCGCTCTGGCAGCACGCTAGCTGCGCTTCTCAGGGCGATCATAACGAAGACGAGTTAGCTTCAAATGCTGCGCTGCACTTTTACTCGGCCATACCTATGTCTTCCTCAACCCTCGTCACGAAGCTTTTGGACAATCCTCTCGAGAAGCCAAAACTTTATCCATCTCGCCCAGCTGGTCCCTCAGACGGTTCTTTAACGCCCAATGACTTTCGAAGCCGAACGCGACGCGTGTTGCGCGCTTCTTCCAATTTTCGTGTATATCACGACCACCGTCGGACGCATAGCTCGCCCAACTATCCAATTCCCTCCCCGCGGCCAAAAGACTTAACACTGCCCCCGTTTCCACCTCCGATCTGTACCCCCTCCCCGGAACCAAAATTTCATCCACCTGAGCGCACGCCTTGGAGTCCTATATTCTTTGGGCTGAGCGAGTCCCCTGCTTTCTGGCTTGTCTCATACTTCCTGTTCAACCTCTCCCTCACTCTTTACAACAAATCTGCTCTCATTCAATTCCCATTCCCTTATACACTCACGGCACTACACGCGCTATGTAGCACAGCAGGATCTTCTGTGGTATTGCGCGCTAATGCAACATCCCCTCAGGGATCTAGTCGATCTCCGTCTCTGAGCTGGAAAGAAGTCGTCACCCTCGTTTCCTTCAGCACACTTTTTACCATCAACATTGCCGTAAGCAATGTTTCGCTCCACCTTGTCACAATACCCGTGCGTTGTCGTCTCTCTTCGGACTTCAAAAAGTTTAACAACTTTTTACAGTTCCACCAAGTGGTACGGGCCACGACACCTTTGTTTACGATCCTGTTGTCGCAAATCCTACTTGGTACACGGAGTAGTCGCGAGAAACTAACGTCACTCTTACCTGTAGTGGCTGGAGTCGCGTTTGCGTAAGTTCTGGCGCTCTTAACCCGGCCTCACATGACGTTTTTCATTAGTACATATGGCGATTACTACTTTTCCCCATTGGGATTTATCTTGACTTTACTCGGCACGGTCCTTGCCGCCCTGAAAACAATTGCGACGAATGTATTGCAAACTCCTGCAACGTTCGATGACTATAGCCGCTTATCAACACCTCTTCGTCTTTTCCATCATTACCTCCATCCACAGCCTACACTATCGACATGGTCATCCCTCGAGTATCTGCATTTTCTTTCACCTCTAGCATTTTTTCAATCTCTCGCACTCGCCTATCTGACTGGCGAACTTGGAATCATGTATCATCATACCCTCCATCACCTCAGCTATACCCAGCAACTATATCTCTTAACAAACGGCGTGCTCGCTTTTGGGTTGAACATGACAAGCTTTGGCGCAAATAAACGGCTGGGGGCTGTTACAATGAGCGTCGCAGGTAAATTTAGTTGTCATTTATCACTCGAAGGTTGCTCATATTTTCACAGCAAATGTGAAACAGGTCCTCACAGTGCTCTTCGCTGTCATACTGTTTGATCTACGGATCAGTCCAACCAACGCCATTGGAATCGCCCTCACGCTTGCAGGGGGTGGATGGTACACCACTGTCGACTTACGAGAGAAGAAGCGCACGAAGTTCATGCAAGAATCGCTCTCCTCAGACCCAAATGTTCAACGGCCCGAAGACTCGCCTTAAACAAAAGCCCCATGCAGGATTCACCTCAACGCACATCACCGACAACCTCCACCCGATTGAACGACATCTTCTCCTAAGTAGACCATCATCACAGGTACTCTTAGGCGGTGCCTAGATCATACCTTCGTATCATTGTATCACAGCATATTTATTGATTTGTTTATAAGTCACCCATATTGTAGATGGCCACACTCCTTTGTTTTGCAATATGTAAGTAGAAGCTAATACTTATACCATGGACGCGATACGCCGATGTGGCACATGTTTTTATCACTAGAATATACTATAGATGGCCACCACTCCTTTGTTTAAGATTGGCGCAGTGGACGCGACACGCAGTTCTATTCATTTTATGGCTGGCATTGATCATTAATTCAACATGAGAGTATTGTGCCTGATGTGGTGGGTTGGCGTAATGGCAACGCGTCAGTTTCCGGAGCTGAAGATTCTGGGTTCGAGTCCCAGGCCTGTCGCTTACTTTTTGTTCGATGGCCGCGCACAGTTTAAAAAGCGTTGCAAGCCATCGATCTATTGGTTTTATCGTCTCTGATAATTCTGGAGCTCAAAACTGTGTTGTGACATCCGATTAAATGAAGGTCATCGCAGGAATGAACGTATATTAGTCTACAAGGGTAGAAGCCTATTCTAATGACCTTCCAAAGCAAGGTGACCAGCTTTGCTTTTCGCCCATGCATCGTAGCTATTTCCCCAGGAATATACAGCGTAACCTGGTTTCGTTTTAGTGCCATAGATGGCCTAGTCTGACGCATAACGTACCCAAACCGAACGGCAAAAGGAAGTAGAACGCCTCGGCGGAGAGGCGACGGTATCCATTAAACAGATAGGAACGGATGAGCTGGGGAGCGGCTTTCATTTGATACGGTGAGAGGGCTGTTAACGGGACGGTGATGAGGAATGCATGATACGAAAATACGAGAAATCACGGACTGTACTGCTTTATGTGCCTTTGCTTCATGACCGCTGAGTCTCCCCACCATGGGTTCTAGATGAATTAGGTTGTTCAATTCGAAATGCGGCTGGATGCAGGAGATTTCCCCCTTACGAAGGTTTTGGCTGTAATAACGAATTCAGACAGTGAACTAGGAGCAACAAGGCACTAGTACTCACGTCCTGGCATACCGCTGGAGCGCACAAAGGTGGGCCTCATCTTAACGAGTAACGGGTTGAATAATAGAAACAGATGTTTTGTGCGACTGGCTTCGAATCCGTTCTTGTCCGGGGACAATCAAGTACAAATAACTTCTGTTCCCCTCGTCATACTATAAACAGCCACGTTGACAGTCGCTGGCTCGATACCATTAAGTAGGCCCTTCAATTCACGACTGTACCAATGCTACGTACTAACGCATAGACGCCCTCTTAGGGAACAATGATAACGCATCAGACGCTATATAACCTCGCCAATTCACTTGGAATTCTCGCCATGCTGACTGTGGTGGGGTATCACTTTGTCGCAGTGAACGCGCGTTATCTCGCGAAGAACCAAAAGGCATTAATCAACGAATGTACGTCTTTTACCATTCCTTATTATTCAATTGAATATTCAGCGTTCCCGTGAAATAGGATTCACAGGTGTCGGAGCATTGCTAGTGTTTGTGAGAAAGCACTTCTGCTTAGGCTATTCTCGTCCAGTCTGTAGCAAAGCGGTTCTTGGGTTGGGAAGCGGGTAGCTGCGTTTTTGGGTATACAGGGAATATAAGCCTTCATTTAATCAAGAACCCATTGTCAGCTCTTACTCGGAAGTGGTAACACTGTATTTGAAACAGAAGCTGGAGCAAAACAAATTATTTCGTCACTCATTTCATGACACCATCGCAGCGGCTCATAAGGTTTGCAAGATGAATGAAATCCATCTTCGCGAGTCCGTCGAAATCGAAGAAGTCCCTAGGGTTAAGCCAATACCAAAAAACTCCGCAATTCCCGTCCCTTTCACCTATATACCGAGTGATGATGGCACAGACGAGAATCTATTGATCATCTTGCATGGTCTTGGTAATTACATCCGCAGGCCTGAGTGCCTTAGAATTGACATTCACATTATTCGATCAACAGGCGACACGCACGTCCCATTTGCCAAAATGGGGAGACAGCTAAAACTTCCACAAACCGCTATCTTATCTCTGCGTGCACCAGAACAGTAGGCCACTTTAGTCCTCAGCACTCTGCCTTTCTCATCATCCGTCCTGCAGAATCCCTTACCTGGAAGAGGATGCCTTCCAGTGGTACATGTCCTTTGATCACCTAGGTGAACTGATCCAACATCCCAATCCCACTCCAGCTGTCGATCTCCTGTCCAAAGTCGTTAACTACCTCGTTAAAGAGTGCAGCTGGCCCGCCAATCGAATCCACCTTTTTGGGTTTGCACAGGGAGGAACGATCGCGACTGAGTTTGGCTTTAAATTTTGGAAAGAACAGGAACAGAGCACAACCCCGCCTCAAACTTCACTCGGGTCTATCGTTTCCGTATCTGGGCCCTTACTATCTTGGCCCACATCCAAGACGATCAGTCCTACTCCCGTGCTCCTAGCCCACAGGCCCCTACCATCAGAAGCCGCACTTCCAAAGGATGCGCTCGCCGCATATAAAAGAGCCTTCCAATCTGTCTTCGAAGAAAAGCTAACCTCAAGACATCTTGGAATGCCGGCATCAAAAGAAGAGTGGGAGCCGATCATGCGCTTCTGGAGTGAGAAACTTGGCCGGAGGAAGGTGTCGGGCCTATACGAAGTCATGGGCGGATTTGCGCCTTGAATTTCACTTTTAGGGTAAATACTTCTTAGCTGTCACAGGGTTGTACCGATACTAATACGTAGTCGTCAAGCGATTCAGTGTAAAGACATCTCAGCTAAGTCGATGAGTATCGAGCTGGATCATTGTCACATGTCGTAGTGGTCAGCCACTTCCGTGACACTGCCCATACTATAGTCCACCGTCTTTTTCCTGCCTTTGTCCATTCGTGAACCAGGCAAGACTTTATCTATTTATCATTGACGAGGTGCTTCGCGCGACCCGTGTTGAATCGAGTGTAGGCATATAAAAGAGCCAGTGAATAAATGACACTCGAACAAGTTGGGCCTACAGAATCCCTTGTGTAAAGATAATGCCTTTGCTATATGCCTGGAGGATATTCTCCGAATCACTGTATATCAAGCTTATTTTTAGTTCCCACTCGAGTCGACATGTCCTATTGCAATGAAGATCTTACACTATGTCAATACATGTTCGCTGTACTATTGGTGCAAAAGCGTGGATCTTACTCATTCAGTAGTAAGGTCAACGACGTTACCAACCTCTCGTAATAACTGTTCGCGAGCCGCTGCGGCGGGATCGTCAATCTCACCCGGATTAGACAAATCCATGACTGTGTCAACCCAGGCAAGACCCCACGCTCCATTTCCGGCCTTCGTCCCGCCTAGCACTCGCTTCTTGTTTTGTGGATCGGGTAAGACCTCCCACCGACTTCTCGTCGGTTGGGTATCTCTGCGATCTGTTGCAAATCAGAGTGCGTATGAAGGCAATGGATAATGCTCACATTGAACCAACCCAATGTGGGGTTCATAAACACCCAAAGGACGCTCATCCTTTTCGTCAGCGACTTTTCGCCTTTTCAGCGCTTGCTCAGTATTATCTTTGTCATCCGCTTCCTCTTCCTCTTCCGCCTCTTTGCCTTTTCCATTACTATAAATGGGTTGTGGTGTTCCATCCCCACCTCCCAAACCGTCAATACCGGCCCATGCCTTAAGTGACTCTTTTCTACACTTTGCCCATTCATCCCCTGCTTCAAGAACTCGCGTCGCCATCATATACATCCAATTTTCCTCCGTGACGCCGTCCCTTGATAGAAGACTCTTCCTTACGGCGTTCAAAGGACCATCACTAAAAGGACCTAACCCACTCCCACCAAAAATGGTCGTAGGCCCACCAGCACGATATACACCCCCACCGGATCCACGTTCGGCTTTACCGGCGCCAGCACCACCAGCGCCGAGAGCCGTTGGGTCTCCAGTGTGATGCGGAGCATTTGGGTCTGGTAACTCGCCCACCAAATCACCAGGTTTAAGACCCTTTGCCGTTATCTCTTCGAGTACTTTGTCTTCATAGTAATCATCGACTACCCATCTGCCATCTAACGCCATGTGGATGATTAGACCACGAGAAATTATTCGACAAGCAGGTACGCACCCAGTAACATTTTGCTGCCATGGAGCTTGAAAGCACTACGCGCAGTTACTAACGTTACACTGCGTGTGCGGAGGTGAGAACCAAGTTTTCCCTCAGAGATAAGATAGTCTTTCTCTGCTTGTGTTGCATTGAGTTTGAAAGCAAGCGCGTTTCGACGGAAATAGTACAAGGAATCACGGAAGCCAGAAGTACGAGCCGCGTCTATGGCAAGCATATACTGTCGCTGAGGATGCCTGTTCGGGAGAACGAATGTGGACGCCTTGAATTGTCGACCTAATAGACGCGTGAAATTTCACGAACAAACATTGAAGAATGGCTCTGTACCTCCTAAAAGGTTTCCCCACTTGTCCATTTTCTCGTCACCTTTTGGATCATCCTCTGTAACGTACTCGTCGCCCTCGATAATGTATACTTTGTCTTGTATTCTTCTGAATGGTTTTCCGCCGCCGATTGGTCCTTCATCCACTTCAACCACCGCTGGTGTTCCTTCCTTCATTTCAGGGTCTTTGACGTCCGCCTCTTTCGTTTCTACCTCTTCAGCTTCCCCTTCACCGCCTTCACCCTCTTCTTCACCCCTCTTGGGTAGCTTGATCGTGAGCCCACCGGCAGTTTTTACTACCGGTTTAGTTTTTCCTTTCGTACGAGCTTTCACTTTGGGTTTTGTTGGTGTGGGAGTCACTGCCCCTTTCGTACGACCACGCGGCCTTCCTCTTCCTTTTAGCCCAGATGTCCCTAGTTCTGTGTCATCGTCAACCGGACCTCCTGCTGCTGCTGCTTGGCTGCCATCCAAATCCATGTTATCGTCTTCACGTTCATCCTCTTCCAGAGCTATATTGTCCTCATCGTCGTCTTCTGCTCGTGATGAAGGTGTAGGAGCGGCGCTAATGGCTTGTTGCTGAGGTGCAGGGACAATGAGACGCGGCTTTATGATTATTTTCGGTACATTTGGCATGGCAAGCGTCGAAGGGCATAAATAAGCGCACACACACAGTATAGTTGCACTTTGAATTGAATTGTAGTTAATGCTATTGTACAGACGTCCCAGGTCGGTGCTACCAAGCGCCTCGCGATCATCCAAGGCGACGTGTAACAGTGTAACGACGATGCGACAAGCGACACCAGAGCTATCTCGACAGCCCAGTCATGCAAAAATACATAGTAACTGTGCACTGTTTTACAAGTTTTCACGAGACATTGATGAACTGCCCAATGTTTTTTGTGCGCAAGGCCAACACACAATTGCGTGCGTTTACTCTGGATAAATATGTGAGAT